GTCGAATTTAAAAATTCATTTTTAATTCGTTATAATTATGTAATAAAATTTTAAATATTCGTGTCATTTATACTCTATTTAAAATATTTAAATAGGATTTATTTTCTTGAAGTTAACAACTGTTTTAAAGTTATTCAAAAATATATTTTATAGAAATATTTATCACAGTAAATATATACATTTGTCTTTAATTCGTGTATAATCAGATAAAAATTACATAAGAACTTAATTGATAAGATTAAATAATAGTCTATATTTTAACAATAAAAGTAGTTTGCACTTAAATTGCACTTAAATAAAACGATTTAGTTTCTTATTCTGTTTTATTTGTTGTGTCAACAAATAAAATAATAATAATAATAAGCTCCAAGAACATAAAATTATTATATGTAAATTATTTTTACCTTTTTCGTTTTATCAAAATTATTCATGCAAATTCTTCAACACTTAAATGCTTTTTTATATATATGAACATCATTAGTTTATTGTGAAATAACATAGGCCTATATGTTATTAATTCAATTTCGTATAAGTACAGTATTTCTTAATTACTTGTAATTAAAAAGTAAAATATATTTCAAAATACTTAATATTTTCAGATACTTCTATTTCGAAATATACTTTGTTTCAAAACAACAAATACAATCATTACATTTTCAGTAATAATCAAAAGGAGACTTACCAAAGACTTGTTATTGTGAATAAATTCAGTTGAATGTGGTGCAGTTTAAAAGTTAGAAAGTAATAACATATCAATAGATTATTGTCAGATTTCGTTGATTATTAATTGGTTATATGAAATATCAAGAATTTGTTTATTACAGGAAAAAAAATATGCTGTACTTGAAATAATTTGTGAACAGTTCTTTGAACTTTTAACAAAAAGAATATTGTTTAGAGACTATCAAATTTTTCACAATGTTTCAAGTTTTACTAATTAATTTTATACAAATATCTTTCTTTCTTTGTATAATCATTGGATTAGTGTATAATATTAATACAGAATAAGCTGAATTTATCTTGTTTTACCAGTAAACTTGTAGCTATTCTCATATGCCATCTAGTAAATGCTACGTATATTTTTATAGTTAATATCAGTTTGACGTCTTAACTGATAACTTCGTAAGAAAAATGTGAAAAATTTAATTTAAAATAATTTTTAATAAATAAATTAATAGTGTTTAAAAAATAAAGCGGATAATTTAACAATTTCAATTCCATAATGTCTCTTATAAAGTGTTTTTGTGTCTATAAATGCTATATAAATTTGTATATTTACATTCAAATCTTTTAATAATATACCGTACACTAGAAATCTAAATAACAGATTAATTTAAAACTTTAAATACGTATTTAAAGTATCATTAAACAGAATTTTTCTAATTATATAAGAAAAATATTGATATTGTGTTTGCTTGTTTTGCATAGGAACGATTAATTTAAATAAACGTATAATATTTATTTTAGACAGTTTTTATATTTTATTTTTCTCGATTATTCTTATTCTGCAACGGTGAAAAGTGATAACTGAATATGAATACATTGGATAAACGGAAGAAACAGAACACGAACCGACTCGTAAAAACGATAAAGAGAAATGAAATAAATAAAATAAAAATTCAAGCAAGGAGAGTCGTGTAGCTTTCCCAGCCGTTATGAGTTTTTATTTAAAAAAACTTTTATATTTTTAATTAATCAAAAATAAAATTATGTGGCGCCATCTGTTATCAGATTTTCTTATAAAAACTTTTTATAATGGCATAAAGTTTAATTATGAGTCTAGAGACGAGTTTTATAAAAAATGTATATATTAATAACGAATAAAATCTTTATTAATCAATTAATTAATTAAGTCCTACCCCTGTAGAGATACATGATCCCCTTCTATCTATCCACCATCTCGACCTTTCATCACCAAAATTTAATATATCTACTATCAGTGAACCTCATATACAAGACATCATGCCAAATTTCATTTCTTAATGTTATGATGTTAGAACTGCATTTAAATGTACTTAAAAATTTGGTAATACCGGCCAAACCATAAAAATGAAAGCTTATAATAAAAACTAGAGTAGTTTATATATAAAAAGAACAAAGATTGATTAATCTGACAAGGTATCTATTCAAATCTCTAGTCTGAGACGGAATAAAATTGTATTGAGTAGAAATTCCAAATACAATACTTGATTTCAATAGTAACTACTCATTATATTCGAGTATCAATAGCAACACTTATTAACTTTTAATGAGTAATCAAGTAATACCTACTTGTTAGTGCATTAATGCAGATATCTCGTTTATCAAGTAGATTAACTCAAAGTTGATTAAATTAAATTAAATTGACGGGTTGCACGTAACCACTGATAAGTAGTAATGATTGCTCATTTTTAAAAATAAAATTAAGTTATATAGATGATTCGAATTAAGTAATATATTTTTTAAAAGACATGCTTTAACAAAATTAATCTTTCGTACTAACTTTATACTTTTAATATTGGAGAAAATAAAGTCGAATTTAAAAATTCATTTTTAATTCGTTATAATTATGTAATAAAATTTTAAATATTCGTGTCATTTATACTCTATTTAAAATATTTAAATAGGATTTATTTTCTTGAAGTTAACAACTGTTTTAAAGTTATTCAAAAATATATTTTATAGAAATATTTATCACAGTAAATATATACATTTGTCTTTAATTCGTGTATAATCAGATAAAAATTACATAAGAACTTAATTGATAAGATTAAATAATAGTCTATATTTTAACAATAAAAGTAGTTTGCACTTAAATTGCACTTAAATAAAACGATTTAGTTTCTTATTCTGTTTTATTTGTTGTGTCANAAATGTTAAGATTAGTTATTTTGTTCTAATATATTGTCCTTTTTTGAAATCATTTGAACCGATGAGTGATGAGTGAATTGCAAAAACCCATAGAGTATTTTCAAGAATATAATTTAAAACATTTCGAATTTTTCTCAATGAAATAAAACATATTATAATTTACTTATTGTCCTAAATAAATAAATAAATATTTACAAACTCGAGGCAAAATTATTGAAGCAAACTTTGGGTACATTTAGGTACATTCTGACTCATAATCAAAACGTAAGAAATATTTAGTAATATAACAACATGAAAATACGTGCATATTATATAGCATATTTTCTTTTTCTAGGCAATAAATAATAATATTAATATAAGTTTTTATAACTATATTACTCGCTTGAAATGTGATTACTATTGTTATTTGTATATTTTTTTAAATCTTGCATTGATCAAGAATAATTTTAAAATATCTGTTAAACTGTATATAGTTTGCCTTTAAAATTTCCTTTTTTTCCCTCATTTATTCTATGTATTATGAAAATATACAGAGGAAAGATTTAATGTCTTTATAAAAATTTATTCGGATAAAATTGTTTTATAATTTTAATTCGATAATATTGTAGCATCTATAAATGCTATTCGAAGCGTGTTTTACAATGTTGTGTACTATTTCCGATTCAATACTTCCATAATACAGAAATACTAATAAATTTTGTGGCATTTGTTGTTGACTGCTAAAACTTTGCGATTATATTTCATTAATAGAAATAATTTTAAAAAGGTATTTTGAAACAATTAATAAACATTTTGGAAGTCTTCAGATTAATTAGATTTATTTGTCTGGATTGTTTGATTAGAGAGCTTTATTCGTAAGATGCATTAACATGTTAATTAAGGAATTACTATTAGTGTTTCTGTTTTCTTGATACTTTTCTTTTCTCGAGAAATTGCAAGCTAGATTTCTCGAGAAATCTCTAACGCGAGCATTGATTCATAAGGAACATAAGGGATGATATATCCCTCGACATTTTTTTTTACCAGCAAACTGCTCCTTTCTCCTTTCGAGATATATAAATATTTTTATTTTATATCATGCTACAAAAATTAGGAATAGAAACGAGTGTTATCAGTTGCAGAATACGATTTTCCTCTTAACGAAAGTCA